GTTAGTTTGGATTTACGTCACTTTTTAGAAATATTCCAACAATATCACGGCGGGGGACACCAGAAATTGGCTTACACATTGTACCCATGTGGGGAATTGAACCCGGATCATCAGCATGACGTGCTAGGGCTTTAACCACTAGGCTACCCCCACCGCCCCTACACCGTAAGAACGGCTTTGTTGGGGTTGTAGGGGTAAGACCAGTGCCACCGCCACTCTCCTATAACACTCCTTCAGGGCATTACGACCCGTGAAGATCCGGGGTAGAATAGGTCTTTAGCAACCCATGCTTGCCTCAAAAGGCGACTGACTATGCTTGTCGTAAGAGGCGACTAACGGGATCGGGCGGTCAGGCTCGCTGAGTTGGTTGACACATGTCATCGGTTCCCAATTGTGCAGATCGGTGCTCATGCTGTTGATCACTGGATTGTCTGGTCCAGACTCGATTATTTACAGACTGCCGCCATATAGCTGGAATATTGCTGAGTGCGGCGTAAAACTAAAGTCACTCACTCACTTAAAGGCATTACACATTGAACTCAAATATAAACATTTTTCTGTTTGTTATTTAACGTTGCACCCACCAATAAAAAACAAACAAACAATATTCAAGTTTTATTAAATTGGTTTCAAATAACTGAATGTGAAACAGACAACCTGTGATAGATGTCATGGACTTACACATAATATGAGTGAGCGAGTTTAGTTTTACACCGCACTCAACAATATTCCAGCTATATGGCGGCGGTCTGTAAATAATCGAGTCTGAACCAGATAATCCAGTGATCAACAGCATGAGCATCGATGTACGCAATTGGGATACGATGACATGTGTCAACCAAGTCAGCGAGCCTGACCACCCAAACCCGTAACCATGAACTGCTGAAGACCAAGTCTCCCCGGATCTTCACGGGTTACATCTTAATGAAAACAACGTATCAGTAATGCTCTACATGGAAAACATTCAAGCCTTGTTATAATAAACATAGCAACCGCTTTGTTTTGTTTCAGTCATAGAATTGTTGCCGTGTACGCCGATGTCACGGCATACAAGTCTAATGCTATGCGAACGACCTGGAAACGCACAGGCCTTTACATCAAGCGGACTACTGGGATACTGGAAATTGCTTTGTAGATTTTTGTGTTTTCAATTAAAGAGGGTAATATCGGCACAACGGTTTAATCAGGTTTATTTGTGTCTGTAGTAACGATTGGCGAATTGCTCTACAGATAATTGAACCTTTGACAGAGTGTTTTCCGTGTTTTGTGGTAAAGGAAGACGTCCTTGATGTATTGTGCAATGTCAACCGCTGATTGGTATCATGTTTTCGTCCGTCTCTTTAATTGCCAATATATTTATCGATGCAGACGGAACCGAGTTTATTGTAGATATTTCCTCCTTATTGGAAGATCCCATCAGTCTGTTGGAGACCATATATATTGATCCATGCATTTATGTTCACTGAAAGTAGGAGCGCGGCAGTTTAATAAGATATGACTTATCACACACAGACGGACACCGACACAGACACAGACAGACACACACACACACACACACACACACACACACACAGACGGGTACAGACACACAGACGGACACCGACACCGACACAGACAGACACACAGACACACAGACACACAGGACCAAAAGCCGGATAGTAAATCATTGAAATAATCGTAAATACAGTAGGAAATACATTCCATGACCGGATTTACGTATGTTTTTAGATATTTCCTAACTTCGGGCATATATTTCATATGAATATATACTTTTGAAACATATGCTCATCGTACATTTTCGTATGCACAAGCACCTCGTTCATGTATGCCCTGACCGGATTTAGGGATTTCCAAACATGAATTGCAAAACAGATACCCCGGTAAATACATGATCATACAGTATTTCCAATGCATTCCTTTGAATTTCAATGGGTGCTGAAATTTCCGATTTCGTTCTAAGTTTACTCGGGTTTGAAACATGTGAATTTACTTAGGCGGGGAAACACATGTAAATTTGCAAATTTGCAAATATTTACACACCTTAGATATTTATGTATCATACCGGATTTCAGGGGTATGTATATGAACGGTTCATACACCATCATGTTACCTGTACTCAAGCAATATGATCATATATATCCATCATGTGAATTATTTGGTTCGTGTAATTTCATTTTCACACGTTTTAATACGTTTGAAATCAACGTTCACATGACCTCAATATTCTTATCACCAAAAGAGCCTGACAAAGAAAGCAGTATTACGCAAGCTAACACGCCTTTTCAAGCTGCACTTGCTCTTGCTACCAGTATCAGTTACGCCTTGTCTGTGGTGTTGGCAAATCTTGTGAGGTGCATGTTTCGAGAGAGTAAAAGGTTCAGTGGTGAACAAAGGGCGATGTGTTGCCCCTTTGTCCTCGCAAGTGTCCCTAGCTGCCCCAAAAGAATAGCACTTTGTCTCTCTTGGAGCACAGCCAAATATGCAACACGAATCAACTCGTAATTTCTTAAGTCTGTTCAGCTCGCGCATCACTACTGTAAAATATTTTGTGGCAGTACATAATTGGAATATTATTGCACTGCATGAGACCTTCCTTAATAGTCTCACAGTGCCTGAACAATGTTATTTCTCCATTCGCTCAGCCTTTGCTGTAATAACGCCATACATAAACTTTAAAGTTGTCCACATTTGTTTCACTAACGCAAAAGTATACGATAACAAACAATGCCATATCAAATTATATATTCTGTGAGACATGAAATGAAAAGTTGGTTTTATTGTGTAGCGATTATGACCGGATAGCTCAGGCGGGTGCGTTCTCTGAGTATATCATAGGCATGTTGGATCTCTATGCCTTTTGTGAAATTCGTCTATATTGTCCTGTTTAAATTGACGATCCATAACTCAGATTGCGAGTAAATATCACGTAAGTAATTGTGATGTCGCATTGCTGTAAATTTCCCTGTCGGAGAAGTCATTCTCACAAGATATATATTCCCTTGTTTGGAGAAGATCTATGGCTATTAGGCCCCAGTGTTGCTAAACATCTTGTAGGCCTTTAGTCTGACACAGACGCAGACCTCGCATGTTCGAGTTCAGATCTGACAGGGGCTGAAAATATCATTCCGACATGAATACAATATCTCAGTGTTTTCCTAAGTAAGTGGAGAGCTTTCTACAACATTGGAAATAACTGTATCGCTGTCCTTCTGGTATTCCCCCGAACGAAAGCTTTACCCATTTAGGGTAGAATGTGTAAGTTACGGAATTGTAGGGAATAGTCTTAAGACTTTTCTACTTTGACCAGGATTCTTCGAACTTGTAACAGTCGTTTGAGAAGATCCAAAGAGAAAAGGGTAGTGCGCGATGTATCTGACGGACGTATTTGGAGAACGTTCGAAGAACTTTATAAATACAATAATAGAAATTCCGGTTATGTTTAAAACGTACCCTCAATCTGATAGCCAGAGGGATTATTGTGAAAGATCGCAGTATGTATCATCATAAACGAGCCAAGATAAAAGTACATGTCATTCATCCCCGCATTATATCCCATTTATAGACACGGGACATCGTTGTTACAGGTAGGGCAAACTCTTTCTTCTAAAGTATCTGCCGGTTTCACGCTACATACATGTGTTTAGATTATCGAGAAAACTAGCGACGCAAGTTCTCCTCCATCATACCAGAGACCACATAATCTATCATATGGCCTTTGATCACACATATAATTGTATAGATACCCAGTGTTTATTGATAGCGATGAAGCAACTTATCAAAATTTACGGCCGACAGTATCATCTGCATTACTCTCTTATAAGAAATATCACAGGGTTGTCATGGTAACGATAATTTGGCATACTATTTATTGTGTTATTCTTTAATCTGCGATTAGAATTTAAATAAGTTTTGACGTGAGCATGTTAAGAAAACAGAAGCTGTAAAACGAAATGTATTGTGATCGAACCTATAGGCCTTTGTAAAAGCGAGGATCAAGCCACCTACATAAAACCCTGTTTTCATGATAAATATCTGCCAATCCTTGGCACGATTCCGACCATATCATGGGCATGTGTTTGTGAATCATAATCAAATAGTGATGTTACAAGGCGTCCATGGCGCGTCAACAACATATGCAAACAGGGGCGTAGCTACCATTATAAAAAACAGCTCGAGCTTACACATGATCTTTGCTAAAAAATAATTTTCCTTCTAATTCTTGCCAGAAATACCTACAAACTCGTTCCATTTAAAAAGTGGAAATCCATCTATGAATCATATTGACTACAGTATTTTTTGATTAAAGCATTACCATGTACAGTAAACAGGTTATTCTTCATATCATAACTTTCAGTGATGATTGTTTTTCCATCGACATGTATGTGGATGGTTTGTTACAGTCATGATTATATGTGAATCATCACTGAAATGCAGTTGTTTATTTTTCATTTGTTTATTATTTATTTTAGAAAAAACACCAAATACTCGATGTATGGTATTGTATCAATGCAGCAGACATGTGTAAACTATGTCCAAACACCACCACCACCACCCCTCCCCGCCCCTTAATTTGTACTATGAGGACAATTTTCTTTGAGTGGCATTTTTCAGAAGTAGAATATGTCTTTCAGTATGTTCAGATGCAATAAACAAAACACGTTAAAACTCATCCTTATCAGATGAGGAATATATATATTCAGGTGATATGATTTGACTAGAATGAAATTTAAATATAAGGCTTTGCAGCCCATAGGGCTTACACGAAAACAAATGGCTTGCTACGCGCCTGGCAAACGCACGAGAATTGCAATACGGGCCTCTAACCACTGATTCTCCATGACCTGGAGACACATGTGACTGAGCGTATGTTGTCACACAGACCCTGAAGAAAATATATCCAAGCCCACGCAAGTCTACAAAATGTGGCAAGTCTAGATTTCCACAGCTTCAGGAGAAAGTCTCAGGGCTCCTTTTCATTATATTATTTTTTTTTTTACTATGAACATTTTTTCTGTAAAATATGTTCATATCAGGGACTAGTTGTTAATCTAGTTCTGACGGGTAGAAGACAAAAGACAAAATGGATACTAGTGCTGTTGCATTTTTAAAATTATATATAAACATTCGTCCTTGTCTCGGTATGTACATTCGGAGGATATCGAAATCTAGGTTAAGCTATTTGAATCATATTTACAATTGAAAGACCCAAACAATGGTTTCTTGTCCAAATTTTTGGTTTTCCATAGTCACAGAACGATATTTGTTCCCCTTCCGTCTCTAGGAAAACTCACTGCAGGGTTGGGTTATGGAGTGCCATACCAAACACCCACAGCTGGCGGGACCAACATCTCCAGTAACATTTCCATCTGCCAACGTTTAATTCGCAAGTGGTGAGGCAATAAGCTAATGAGGCTAAGGGTCCTGTACCATGTTTGTGAAATATCTATGATGCCTTATATGAAGTCTATCATCTAAGCAAGTCTAGCTATGTATGGCGTTAAGTCATTGCTTGAAGAAAGGCTCCTTTAGAATTTTATTTGGTAAATATTAGTATTTCCAGAGACCATATAATAGATTATTCTATTATATGGTCTCTGGTATTTCCATCATATTGGAAAATACATAGACTAACGCTTAGTGTCTGAATATATAAAATTTTGATAGTAACAAACAAACCCATTTAAATTGAAAAGGAGCCCCAGGGAGACACGAGATTCAGTCCGGCTAGCCATGGCAGTTAGCTATAGATATGTTTACTTTGTAACCCGACCCCCAAGGTGAGTTATGTTTCTTGCAGATGTTAACAGACCCTGGACCTAAGGAGATCTAGACTTGCTTCATTTAAGGCTTTAGCATTGCAGATTGGGATTGGCAGTAGGGGAAATAATGTGGTTCAGGGACTGTGAGACAGACTAAGCAGTAAGGAAAATAATGTGGTTCAGGGACTGTGAGACAGACTAAGCAGTAAGGAAAATAATGTGGTTCAGGGACTGTGAGACAGACTAGAAAATGCATGGCAACCTACACTTCATTGTGACTATGATTAAGGCATCATTTTAAAACACAAGGGTTATTTCCTTTGCGTTAACTGACAGGCTTTCGGTGTCAAATTATTTGGAACTCCAGCCAAAGGTGGTGTTATGCTGTCTGGAAATATGGCCTGTTTGTAATGCTTTGGTTGCACATAATGATAAGTGATTGTTGTACATATGATGTTTTTGAAGGATAATCTCAGCTGACTAATACTTTGCACGTGTTTCCCCCCACTCTTTCCATACCCGTAAAAGTTAATTTTCCATATATGTCTGTAAGAAAATACTGTAAAGTAATGGGATGGCTGAATTTGGCCACCTGAGGTAGTGACCACAGCGCTCTGGTTATACTGCATCGAGAGAGGACAGAGCTTGGCAAGATACCAATACATATGCTTGTCATTTAAACCTTTATCTGATGTTTGTGGAATGTGATTTTGAAGTTGCTTCCTGCACCTGTAGCCCCAATATAGATGTTGTTAGTCTGTGAATCTTTCAAATTACTTCGTCTCTTTTTTTCAATTGAAATTAAGATCTTTGCCTTTTATCAAAATATTTTATTTTCAGTCTTAATGTGCCTATGTCGGGAATCAACCACCGGTTTTTGACCTGACAGGCGAACGCTTTAACCACGAGTGTACCCCATCATTCCTTGATACTGTTGGTACATTTATTATACATTCAAGATTGAACCCAGCTTTGTCACCATATATCCTTCAGTTTCTATGTTAGTGACATGATCTGTACACTGATAATTTAAAAAGTGGAATATAAATAATGATTGTTTGCGATCTTTATCCAATTTAGCTTTCCATTGATCTCGTAATTTTCAGTTTCTATTTCCTGGAAATTCTGTGCGAAGGTACTTTTAACAGTTTCACCCAATAACAGTAAAGCATACAGATAATACGTTTCGGTACTTTGATAGATTAATAAGTACACATTATATTCCATGATATTGAGATACCAAAATGATTAACATAATTATATACAGTATAACAAATTAGACAGCAAAAAGCAAAAGCAAACAAGAATACGCATGAGCAACATAATGCTGTCAGGTAGTAAGCTTTCAATAATTATCGAAACTGCTTAGTTATGAGCTAATTGCAATCACTACAATTTTCTATAGTCTACCCAAGAGATGGAAACAAAATAAGCCTATTTTAAAATTATGAGCTAATTGCAATCACTACAATTTTCTTTAGTCTACCCAAGAGGTGGAAACAAAATATGTCTACAGTATATTCCGTCGGGTAACTGAAATTTGAGAAAAACGTCCGTATGGAATAATACCTGTATTCCGAATCAAAAAGAGGTCATACCAAGTATGTGCATGTTCACACATTAACAACAGTAATTTACACCGGGAATCATTAATACATTGTAATCATCTTTTATGATGAAATTTGTCCAGTTATGATCAGTCGGATAACTCATACAAGTGAGCATTAAAATTAGGGAACTACCGGTTCATGTCTGTGTGAACACATCTGTCTGTGTTTTATTGTAATTAGCAGTGTTTCCTTGTATAGCATATATAAGAACTGTACCCATGGTCAGTTATTTAAACTAATTTCCATTACAAAATGTATAAACGATATTACCTACTGGTCAGGAAGACTTATCAGTACCCCAACACCGACCCACCGCCACCACCCCACCTTAGGCCTACCCCATGCCACACCCTCTCCCTCGCACACACACACACTCCTAACATACATATCGCTCTGGCCCATAGACCCGATATTTGAACCTTTTAAACAGACACCATGCGTATGTCAAGAAAGACACGCACGTTATTAGTGGTGCTCAGTCATGGGTATCACTTCACTATGTGTTTCTAATTATCTCAGTACATTATGGCGTGGTCGGACGCGCTAACGAACCCTATGTGACAGTTACATTACAGAATCATTGAAATACATGTTAAAGTAGTGCTAAGCTTGTAACACTATACTTACGCATTTCCAACCATTTACGCATGTACTAAGTATGTGACAAACCTAACCCTGGTCATACGAGATTTCAAGGGTATTGAAATGCATGTCCTACAATCACAGCATTTACATATGTTACACATGTTAGGAAATCATGGAAACAATGGCCAGATTTACACACCTGTGAAATACATGTAAATGCAGAGTTGAATGTTTGTTTATTTTAACACTCCTTTAAACGTGTGTAAATCTGACGGCCAGATGATACATAGATTTCAAACGATGTTCATATGGCCGCCGGATGAAACGAGTATTTCCTGACGTTAGTAAATTTGGCTAATACAGTCATTTTGTGTGGTGACAGACAGACAGACACACACACACAGGCGGGCACAGACACACATACGGTCACACACAGACGGACACAGACACAGACAGAGGGACACACACACATACACACACACACACACCTCCTTTGAAAATGATATGATTAGATCTCCCAAAGTCAGTGATTATAGCCTAGTGTTTAAAGAATCCGCTCGTCACGCCGAAGACCCGGGGTCGATTTCCCACATGGGTACAATGTATGAAGCCCATTTCTGGTGTCCCCCACCCTGATATTGCTGGAATATTGCTAAAAGCGGCGTAAAACTAAACTCACTCATTCACTGCAAATAATCGAGCCTGGACCAGGCAACCCTGTGATCAAGAGCATGGGCATCGATCTACGCAACTGGGATACGATGACATGTTCTACCTAGACAAAGTACAATAAATCAGCACACGTAACTGCGTCACCTTTGAAAACGATGCTCAATTCGGTGGATGCATCCCCTGTGCACAGCGACCTGTTCAGAGTTTGTAAGTCGTGCCTTACCCAGCAAGAACAACGATATAACGGTACAATTTATTGATTTTAACCTGATATCCTTTAAAACTCCAAGCCGAAATATCAAACTGACTTATTAATGAGTTTTATGTTTTACTGCAGCCTAGATGTAACAAACGGCATTAAAAGCGATTTTAAAACGAACAGTTTTCTGACACTGATGGTCTAGAATCCGCGACCACTTTAAAAACTCAATTACAAAAATTTAGAAACACTATTTTAAAGTAAGCCAATGCAAAACATTGTCCTAAAAGAGCAATGTCCAACGCGGAAGGGACGGCGGGGTAGCCTAATGGTTAAAGCGTCCGCTCGTCTGGGTTCGATTCTACAAGTGGGTACAATGTGTGAAACCCGTTTCTGGCATCTATGTAAAACTAAACTTGCACTCACTCACTCTATGTAAAAAGTGATAGACGTTAAGAAGACCAATGAAGACCGGTTTTGCACAGTGAGCATCCCCGGGACCAATCCGTGACGGTGGCGCCATGAAACCGTCGTCACACAACGGGAATATTGCTGAGCACAAACAAAACAAAGTCTCAGGCTCCGTGAGAAACTGAGAACAGGAAGATAAACCACAAAGTGTCCAGTAAGATATGCTTTGTCACTAGCGTTGCACAAAACAGGAAACATAATTACAGGTGTCATCTCACTTTAAAGTTAAGAGATTAAATTCGTGAAAATACACCTATGCGTTTCTTTTTTGGGGGAGGGTATAGATGTCATTGTGTATTTAGTGTGTAGCGGAACACTCAGCTCTCCCAGGAACACGTCCAAGTGTTTTGTGAAATAACACGCAGCGAGCAGCCTCAATCAGTGCTGTCCTTCACAGAGAGCAATAGCAAGAATTGATTAATCAGTGTATATGATTTCTGTTCAAGCCCAACATTTGTGCAAATGTCAGAATGTGAATCATTTCAGGATTTGCGGAAAGACCAAAAATATGTTACCCGTTTCTACGAATCTCCATCGCTTTAAGCCATGAGCAACCCGTGTCAACGAATGGTAGGTGTTGTTGTTTACTTCTTGTTGTTTAAACTCTAATAGACAATATTCGAGTTTTGAAATAATCAATAAGTCTACAGGATGACATCATGACCACCTAGTTTCTCAAACACACAGACATTAGCTACATATATAACAAACAAAGGACGTACCAACCAACCTAGCACTAGCACTTAATACTTTTGTTACAGCAGTTACAAAAAGGCAATACAAAAAATATAATACATGTGAAAAACATAACAGAACTTTTTACTTTTGTCACGTTATCTTAAAGCCATCTATCTGTCAAGGGAGTGTTAGTCGTTCACGAAAATGTTCAAAGAGACACAGTTGGAAATTAGATTGATTAATTAATTAATTTATTTATTTATTCGCTTTGATTTTCGTGATGTTGATTTCCATTTAATCTTTAGCATCACCGGTCAACTGAAGTTTACGACTTCGAACACTACCTTCCACATAAGTGCAAATGGGCCGGGGAGGTAATATATATTTATTCAGTATTTCGGCCTCATAACCTAGAATACAATTGAATTTGATAGAACAAATGTCACGTGGTGAACAATACAGCAATATTTCTATTTCCATTTACATGTCAATAGAAATACATTTTTAAGGAAAATGGCGAGTGCTCGTAAATTATCCTCATTATTTGTGTTTAATATATTACACAAGAGTTTCACCGAAGAGTGGATAACATTAGGTAGGCTTGGGAGATATTTCAATCTAAGGTCATGATACTTTTTACAAATAAACAGGACGTGGAACTCGTACTCCATAACGTTAAGATCACAAACAGAGTGATTTATATACATGTTCATTTTTGTTTCTACGTAGGTTATTAATATTAAAATCATGAAGAGATATTCTAAATTTACATAAGGCTCTTAGCAAAGACCTATCCGAGAGACACAATAAATATTTTTTCAGGCTGCAACAAAGTCGTAATGCTACTATAATTACTTAAATAGTGCGAAGATGATATAAAACTATGCCAATATTGGCAATCAATATCTTTCAGCCGTTGTTTGAATATAGTTGTAAACAATATAGAATCACCCACACTTTGTGATAACCAAACGTGGGTAAAACCTGTGTAAAATAGCAAATTTCTGAGATTTGACACCAAGTTGTGCTTTCCAGCATCATCTAATTTTTTAAACATTATATAGCATTGGTATTGATATCTAGAACAATTCATATGAAGTATTTTTATCCAGTATTTTATAACCCTTATCTGTGTTGAAACAAACGTCGTGCGGCGCCCTGTTTCGCCAAGTATAGCCTTATTGGATGCGAATTTGCCAACCTGTAAGAAACGTTTTAGATATTGTGTGTGAACATTTTCTATAACTTCAAAGTAAGTATCTTGTCCCCGATATTTCAGACTCATACAGTAAAATTGGTGAAACTTTGCTATCAAATATTTTACAAGCCGCTAGAAAGGATATGCAACTATTTTTTCGAAATAATGTGAAGCGTGCACGTGAAGCTTGAGCTGCTAGCGTTTGGCATGCTTTTGACCAATTTAACGTTGATGAAAATAGAATACCTAGAAACATATAACATGGTATAATTTTAGATTTATGTTGTTTAGAACCCAGCTTTCACGTTTAGCAACAATGCCTCCATTTCTGAATACAATGACACTGGTTTTATCTAATTGACTTGAAATCCCCATCTTTCACAGAAAGATTGAAGCACATTTAATTGCTTTCGCAATCCAGAAACAGTATAAGAGAACATCATCGGTAAACAAAAGTAGCATTATATCATAAATATTTTGTGTCACAAATATACCGTGATCACATTTATCATACATTTCAGTCACAAGCCCATTTATGAAAAAGGTGAAAAGTATAGGACTAAGAACACATCCTTGTCGAACACCTGCTGATGTGGTAAAGTTACTTGTTCTTTTTGAGTTTGGTCTCACACATGATTTAACTGATGAGTACATATTCCTAAGTATATTAAACATTTTCCCATGACAACCCTATAGTGCTAATTTAAGTCATAACCTGTTTCTGTCTACATAGTCAAAGGCCTTCTTAAAGTCAATAAATACACAATAAAACCTACCACGTGGTTTGCATATATATTTAGAGATCAATGCTTGTAGAGTGCATATATTGTCAGTGGTAGAGTAACATACCTTAAGATGGGGAGGGTTCATAGTGGAGACGAACGTCAATCAAATCTGAAAGAACACGTGATGCTGACAATCACACTTCTCACAAAGCTATCTTAAGCTTACGATCTCGTAACTTTTCTCGAAACATTGGCACCTCCTATACTGTAACATAGACTTACGACAGTCGTAGCGCTACGATAGCTTTGTGAAACGGGGCCTAGATTTATTGTTGTTTACTTCAGAAAAGTAATATAGGCCATAGGCCCAGGTTACACATTGAGAATTACAGAGTGAGACAGTATGTTATAAAGAACACTGTCTCAATAACATAGCTTGATATACACTAGACGCCAAAAGAACGTTACCCGCCTACCTTTATGAATTGCTGAAAAACTATCAAAGATATTTTAGAAGGTTATAGTTTACAAGAAAGCTTAACAACACAGCTTTATGCAAATCAGGAGAAAAAAAATTCTCAAATGCATTCATATTTGCGTGAAATGCATCTTTTTTCAGAAGAGTTAAATTGTCCTATATTCGTCCATGCCGGAATAAAACAATAATAGTGATTTTGATGTCCAAAAGAAAGGTTGAAATAAACTTCTGCTTTGGGACAATGATAAACCATCTAAACTCACCATTTCTTAACTATTAAAACAAGAAACAACTATTGTAGAGTGTGTAAAATTGTAAAATAATAATTCCTATGATTTCTGTCTTTAAAAACATTTTCTGCTGATTTGCATTAGTGAAAACAAGTAAAACGTGCCTTTTGATATTGTGAAAAAATGTTTAGGAACAACTACAGATATCTTTGTTAATATATGCTTGCAGAAGCGTAATAGTATTAAATTTTTGGATTATTGGATATTCATGAAATTGGGAAGGGATGTACAGACGCCGCAATGCTTGATATTTATTACAAATAAGCAAAACGTGATTTATGAGACCCCGATCTAAACTGAGCAAGAGAGCGTTTATGTTTAAAATAGCTGTGAAGATATCAGATACAACACCGAACATAGGTTTAAACAACGAGTATCCAAATGTTTTTATGCCTTTTCCTAGTGCAGAATGCCAGTATTGTTGAAATGACACTTTGAGTCTATCTAGAAATGCATTTAAAAAAATAGCGTTTCACTTCGAACAATCGGTTCTTGCCAAACAAATCCGAATCCAAAGACTTCTAATGTATGCTTTATCATAGATGCCCAGCTCTTCCAACCATTACGTTCATTTGTACAAGCATTTTATACAATTTCTTTAAATAACGCTCATTTGACATTTTCATATGTTACAGCAATATTTCACAGACCTTTTGATGGTATAAATAAACCATAGATATCTTCCACATTCGCCTCGCACCATGAGCTGAGGATTTAATTCCTAGAAATCGTTTACAAGCTGCTACATGTACAACTTCTTTTTCTGCACCGTATGATAAAATTGGACAAACTTTGATGTTGAAAATCTCAAAGAACAGGTCAAAAGGTAATGGCTTAAACATTGACAGTGATCTAAAAATACCCAATAAAACTTGCTTGGCCAGCAGACATACATTTTCTAAATGCTCGGTCCATAGTAATGACCTACTGAATAAAATGCCTAGATATTTGTACCAGAAAACACATTCTATTTCTACACCATTTTAGAACCATTTTGCATACTTCGACAGTCCATTACCTTTGTTTTTTCCGTATCAGAGCACCGTGTTTCTTGGTGACCTTGACCGAGGTCACAGGGGACATTCAGTGGATACTCAGCACATTCACAGATGTAAGCAGTCAGGAAGGACTGAGGACATTTAGTGCCGGGGTCAGAGAGGACTGAGGACATTCAGAGCCGGGGTCAGAGAGGGCTGACAACATTCAGAGCTGGGGTCAGAGAGGGCTGAGGACATTCAGAGCTGGGGTCAGAGAGGGCTGAGGACATTCAGAGCTGGGGTCAGAGAGGGCTGAGGACATTCAGAGCCGGGGTCAGAGAGGGCTGAGGACATTCAGAGCTGGGGTCAGAGAGGGCTGAGGACATTCAGAGCCGGGGTCAGAGAGGACTGAGGACATTCAGAGCTGGGGTCAGAGAGGGCTGACATTCTGTGAGCCGAGGGTCAGACAGGGCTTCAGAGCTGAGACATTCAGAGCTGGGGTCAGATAGGGCTGACAACATTCAGAGCTGGGGTCAGATAGGACATAGCACATTCAGAGCCGGGGTCAAATAGGGCTGACAACATTCAGAGCCGGGGTCAGAGAGGGCTGAGGACATTCAGAGCTGGGGTCAGAGAGGGCTGAGGACATTCAGAGCCGGGGTCAGAGAGGGCTGAGGACATTCAGAGCTGGGGTCAGAGAGGACTGAGGACATTCAGAGCTGGGGTCAGAGAGGACTGAGGACATTCAGAGCTGGGGTCAGAGAGGGCTCAGAGAGCTGGGGTCAGATAGGGCTGACAACATTCAGAGCTGAGGGGTCAGAGAGGGCTGAGGACATTCAGAGCTGGGGTCAGATAGGGCTGACAACATTCAGAGCCGGGGTCAGAGAGGGCTGAGGACATTCAGAGCTGGGGTCAGAGAGGGCTGAGGACATTCAGAGCTGGGGTCAGAGAGGGCTGAGGACATTCAGAGCTGGGGTCAGAGAGGACTGAGGACATTCAGAGCTGGGGTCAGAGAGGACTGAGGACATTCAGAGCTGGGGTCAGAGAGCTGGGGTCAGATAGGGCTGACAACATTCAGAGTTGAGGTCAGAGAGGGCTGAGGACATTCAGAGCTGGGGTCAGATAGGGCTGACAACATTCAGAGCTGGGGTCAGATAGGGCTGAGGACATTCAGAGCTGGGGTCAGAGAGGGCTGAGGACATTCAGAGCTGGGGTCAGAGAGGGCTGAGGACATTCAGAGCTAGATCAGGGGTCAGAGAGGGCTGAGGACATTCAGAACCGGGGTCAGAGAGGGCTGAGCTGGGGTCAGAGAGGGACTGAGGACATTCAGAGCTGGGGTCAGAGAGGACATAGGACATTCAGAGCCGGGATCAGAGAGGGCTGAGGACATTCAGAGCTGGGGTCAGAGAGGGCTGAGGACATTCAGAGCTGGGGTCAGAGAGGGCTGAGGACATTCAGGCCTGGGGTCAGAGAGGGCTGAGGGACATTCAGAGCCGGGTCAGAGAGGGCTGAGGGACATTCAGAGCTGGGGTCAGAGAGGGACATAGGACATTCAGAGCCGGGATCAGAGAGGAGCTGACAGACATTCAGAGCCGGGAGTCAGATAGGACTGACAACATTCAGAGCTGGGGTCAGAGAGGGCTGACAACATTCAGAGCTGGGGTCAGAGAGGGCTGAGGACATTCAGAGCTGAGGGGTCAGAGAGGGCTGAGGACATTCTCCAGACATTCAGAGCCGGGGTCAGAGAGGGCTGAGGACATTCAGAGCCAGGGTCAGAGAGGACTGAGGACATTCAGAGCCGGGGTCAGAGAGGGCTGACTCAATGAGAAGACTGAGTAGGACATTCAGAGCTGGGGTCAGAGAGGGCTGACGACATTCAGAGCTGGGGTCAGAGAGGGCTGACAACATTCAGAGCTGGGACAACATTCAGAGCTGGGGGTAGGGCTGACAACATTCAGAGCTGGGGTCAGATAGGGCTGACAACATTCAGAGCTGGGGTCAGAGGGCTGACATTGGAGACATTCAGAGCTGGGGTCAGATAGGGCTGACGACATTCAGAGCTGGGGTCAGAGAGGGCTGACAACATTCAGAGCTGGGGTCAGAGAGGGCTGAGGACATTCAGAGCTGGGGTCAGAGAGGGCTGAGGACATTCAGAGCTGGGGTCAGAGAGGGCTGAGGACATTCAGAGCTGGGGTCAGAGAGGGACTGAGGACATTCAGAGCCGGGTCAGAGAGGACTGAGGACATTCAGAGCTGGGGTCAGAGAGGGCTGAGGACATTCAGAGCTGGGGTCAGAGAGGACTGAGGACATTCAGAGCCGGGGTCAGAGAGAGAGGGCTGAGGACATTCAGAGAGACTGAGGACATTCAGAGGGGTCAGAGAGGACTGAGGACATTCAGAGCTGGGGTCAGAGAGGACTGAGGACATTCAGAGCTGGGGTCAGAGAGGACTGAGGACATTCAGAGCTGGGGTCAGAGAGGACTGAGGACATTCAGAGCTGGGGTCAGAGAGGACTGAGGACATTCAGAGCCGGGGTCAGAAGAGGGCTGAGGACATTCAGAGCCGGGGTCAGAGAGGGCTGAGGACATTCAGAGCTGGGGTCAGAGAGGACTGAGGACATTCAGAGCCGGGGTCAGAGAGGGCTGAGGACATTCAGAGCTGGGGTCAGAGAGGACTGAGGACATTCAGAGCCTGGGGTCAGAGAGGACTGAGGACATTCAGAGCTGAGAGGGGGTCAGAGAGGCTGGGGTCATTCAGAGATGAGGGCTGACAGAGGATTCAGGACATTCAGAGCCAGGTCAGAGAGGACTGAGGGACATTCAGAGCCTGGGGTCAGATAGGACTGACAGGACATTCAGAGCCAGGGGTCAGAGAGAGGGCTGAGGACATTCAGAGCTGGGGTCAGAGAGGACTGAGGACATTCAGAGCTGGGGTCAGTCAGAGAGGGCTGAGGACATTCAGAGCTGGGGTCAGAGAGGACTGAGGACATTCAGAGCTGGGGTCAGAGAGGACTGAGGACATTCAGAGAGAGGGGTCAGAGAGCTGGGGGTCAGATAGGGCTGACAACATTCAGAGTTGAGGGTCAGAGAGGGCTGAGGACATTCAGAGCCGGGGTCAGATAGGCTGACAACATTCAGAGCTGGGGTCAGATAGGGCTGACAACATTCAGAGCCGGGGTCAGAGAGGGCTGAGGACATTCAGAGCTGGGGTCAGAGAGGGCTGAGGACATTCAGAGCCGGGGTCAGAGAGGGCTGAGGACATTCAGAGCTGGGGTCAGAGAGGGCTGAGGACATTCAGAGCTGAGGGTCAGAGAGGGACTGAGGACATTCAGAGCCGGGGTCAGAGAGGGCTGAGGACATTCAGAGCTGGGGTCAGAGAGGGCTGAGGACATTCAGAGCCGGGGTCAGAGAGGGCTGAGGACATTCAGAGCCGGAGTCAGAGAGGGCTGAGGACATTCAGAGCCTGGGGTCAGAGAGGAGGGACTGAGGACATTCAGAGCTGGGGTCAGAGAGGGCTGAGGACATTCAGAGCCGGGGTCAGAGAGGGGCTGAGGACATTCAGAGCCGGGGTCAGAGAGGGCTGACAACATTCAGAGCATTCAGGGTCAGAGAGGGGACAACATTCAGAGCCAGGGTCAGAGAGGGCTGACAACATTCAGAGCTGGGGGTCAGATAGGGCTGACGACATTCAGAGCTGGGGTCAGAGAGGGCTGACGACATTCAGAGCTGGGGTCAGATAGGGCTGACAACATTCAGAGCTGGGGTCAGATAGGGCTGACGACATTCAGAGCTGGGGTCAGATAGGGCTGACAACATTCAGAGCCGGGGTCAGAGAGGGCTGACAACATTCAGAGCTGGGGTCAGAGAGGGCTGACAACATTAAGAGCTGGGGTCAGAGAGGGCTGACGACATTCAGAGCTGGGGTCAGAGGGCTGAGGACATTCAGAGCTGGGGTCAGAGAGGGCTGAGGACATTCAGAGCCGGGGTCAGAGAGGACTGAGGACATTCAGAGCTGGGGTCAGAGAGGGCTGAGGACATTCAGAGCCGGGGTCAGAGAGGACTGAGGACATTCAGAGCTGGGGTCAGAGAGGACTGAGGACATTCAGAGCCGGGGTCAGAGAGGGACTGAGGACATTCAGAGCCGAGGACATCCAGGGAGTCAGAGAGGGCTGAGGACATTCAGAGCTGGGGTCAGAGAGGACTGAGGACATTCAGAGCTGGGGTCAGAGAGGACTGAGGACATTCAGAGCCGGGGTCAGAGAGGGCTGAGGACATTCAGAGCTGGGGTCAGAGAGGACTGACAACATTCAGAGCTGGGGTCAGAGAGAGGACTGAGGACATTCAGAGATCAGAGAGGACTGAGGACATTCAGAGCCGGGGTCAGAGAGGGCTGAGGACATTCCAGAGCCATTCATCAGGATCAGAGAGGACTGACGACATTCAGAGCTGGGGTCAGAGAGGACTGACAGGACATTCAGAGCCAGGGTCAGAGAGGACTGAGGACATTCAGAGCCGGCCGAGAGGAAAGAGAGGACATTCAGAGCTGGGGGTCAGAGAGGACTGAGGACATTCAGAGCTGGGGTCAGAGAGGAATGAGGACATTTAGAGCCGGGGTCAGAAAGGGCTGAGGACATTCAGAGCCGCACGCATGACAGTCAGAGAGGACTGAGGACATTCAGAGCTGGGGTTAGAGAGGACAGAGGACATTCAGAGCCGGGGTCAGAGAGGACTGGGGACATTCAGAGCCGGGATCAGACAGGACTGAGTGCATTCAGAGCCGGGGTCAGAGATCTGAGGACAGTCAGAGCCGCACGCAGTCAGAGAGGGCTGAGGACATTCAGAGCCGTACACAGTCAGAGAGGACTGAGGACATTCAGAGCCGTGCTAAGAGAGGGTTGAGGACATTGAGTGCCGCACGCAGTCAGAGAGGGTTGAGGATATTCAGAGCAGCCCATGGTCAGTGAGGCCTGATGACATTCAGAGCCGCACACGGTCAGAGGAGAGTGAGGACAATCAGAGCCGTACGCAGTCAGAGAGGTCTGAGGACATTCAGAGTTGGGGTCAGAGAGATCTGAGGACAGTCAGAACCGCACACGGTCAGATATGGCTGAGGACATTCAGAACCGTGGTCGGAGAGGACTGAGGACATTTAGTGTCGTACTTCTCCAAAGAAGGCTGAGGACATCCAGTGCCGTATACGGTCAGAGAGGACTGAGGACATATGATAAGCTGTATGCCTGTTTATACCTGTGATTCCATTAAGTACACAGTTGTGAAGAATGCTTTATACCCCGGTAACAAGTAAAAGATCGCACGTTTCTTTAAAAGGCAAATCGTTATTAAAATACACGACAAAGCAACAGATCACAAAATGTTGCATTGTCGCGCTTTGGTTAATTTTATCACAATATCCGTTCCTGGATTCCATGCAAATGAAAAATATTCTTCCAGAATTAAAACGGTCAAAGACCCTGTCCAGAATACTTATATTACTTATGATATGCCCCGGTCCATGAAAATATACAATATTAAAGAAAACGACAAACAGTGGGGATTTATCGCCTCGTTTAACAGTGCAAATAGCTAAGGGGGAGCGGTGGGGTAGCCTAGTGGTTAAAGCGTTCGCTCGTCACGCCGAAGACCCGGGTTTGATTCTCCACATTGGTACAATGTGTGAAGCCCATTTCTGGTGCCCCCGTCGTGATATTGGTGAAATATTGCTAAAAGCGGCGTAAAACCGCGGCATTCGCATTCGCAAATATACTCAAATGTTTAGACTCACTAGTGTAAATGTAGCCACTTACTTCAGTCAACTGATCTAAACTAGATTTTGGAAAATATTCTATACAGTTTAAGGGTACTGTTTACACATGAACTGATGCATTGTAAAACAAATTCGTAACGTTGAAATGATAGATATAGAATGCACACGCTCGGACCAAATGTGACTTCTACACCATATCTCTTCAAGGGCGTGTCACGATGCCTAGTGTCAATTTATATGATTTCGATTATAAGTTGTATGCTTCTCTAGAGGGTAATACAGTCTGATGCACGCCTCTCTGTAGTAGTGTTACCAGCAACCTCACTTACATCGAGACACAGACTCTTGTGTCCCTTCTTCCAGTCTCTCTCCTGACAATCGCGGGAACAGTACGGCATCTTGCATCTGTATAACACTGTAACGTGCCGATCTTCTTGCAGAACATGCAGGGGTCGACTGTCAGCCTTGGTTGCAGATTATACGGCCACAAACCGTATAACCAGAGGGAGAAGTTTATAACGTATTTATCTTACCGCCATGTTAAATGTACAAAATATCATTTTATGTTATTTTGCAGATCGATACGTTCGCTACCGACTATATGACATGTAAACCAAATGGCGTCTGCCTCTCGACTGGACATTTAAAATCAGTGAAACATATTCTGACAATCTTAAAACTGCTAAAAAAATGGTTAATTATGTTTAAGTTGAATGTGCAAACGATTCAATGTATAAAATAGATTAAATAAAGCAGTGAAGGCCGGTAAAATAAATGTGTACATAGTGATCACAAAAACAGCTAACCGAACGGTTTTCGAACATGCGCTGCATGCGTCATATTATGACGTCATACGATTGTTAGCGATACAGCTTCTCGGCGGAGAGTTTGGCGGTTACCTTGGCAGTGGGAATATGTTTTCCAGTTGTCACTGAAGGGACTGCTGTTAAATGCAGTTATGTTTATCAAATTGATCGTCTGTTGTGTAATATGCGAATTTTTAATTTTAAAATCTTAAAACAGCGTTCGTAATACCTGCTTGCCCGACCGCCCGGGGAGGGCTATTTACTCCACTGACTGCCACATTCTCAAATTCACCTGCCCGACGGTCGGGTTAAAATTTAGACCTGTATATGAAGATTTTTTTTGTGGGCAGGTAAGTTTTGGTCAGGGCTGGGAAGTTTTACATCTAACCAGCCCTGTGGTCTGGGTGAAATTTTTGGGTGAGTTTCAGACCCTGCTTCAATTCAAATAAATTTTAAATGATATGTTTAATGTACGCTGTACTTCCTAGTGATCCAATGTCGCTAACCGTGTATGGCATAAGAAACATTGCGCTTTGAGTATACCTTCATGGCGTGGAAATGCCATGTCAATATTTACAAAACACATATTAAACAGGCCTATACATTCTTGCTTCGATTCTTCAATGCAGACACTAGGCGGGAACCACGATATACTGTAAGGGCATCATGTTTGTGTGTTTCACGTAGCCACCAAATTCTGAACATGGGTCGGTCGGTCGGGAAAAACAAACAAACAAACAAACAAGAAAACTTAATAAAGACAAAATTATCTGAATAATTTATTGTAAATCATATTACAATTTCTCGCGTTCTTTGGACTTGTAGCAGCGACTAATTAAAAGGTAAACATTTTATATGACGTGGCGGTACGTTTTAGGTTCGAGGCGGCGGTGTTGGAATGAAAAAGGTTTTCTGAGGGGGTCGGCAGTAAAATTAGTAGTGTCGGGCGGGCGATGAGGAACACCGAAAATAAAAACGCTGCCTTAACCGTAGCTGTTGGTTTAGAAAGGTCTTTGAAACGTATAGATTTACTGTAATGTCAAACCACGAACGTTTGTGATTCATTTAGGAAGTTTAGGAATTGCTCTGATTTATCGCAGTCCTCGGTGGGTGGCCTCCCCTTCCGTACTGTGAACACGATACTGTATTTTTTCAACTTGCTAACGCATTTAACCAATTATCACGTGTCCCCGTGAGACAATGAAACATTATTCTATGCTTGTCGGGGAAAAACAGTCTGTGATGATCAATCTGCAAGGCTGTTGGAGCGGAAGTGGTGGCACGTGCGAGGTCAGTAAGTGCTGTGATGAGATCAGCGCAGATAATCAAAGCACCGGATGTAGCATTATAAGCTTGAACACCTCTCGCCGTCAAGAGCTAAATAATGAATCTGTGATTTATTTCACGTGATATATGCTTCCTATTTGCACTGAGCTTGGAGGTCGATCTCAAGACGTTCACTGCTTTGTCAACTGGTTGGTTTGAGGTTTAAAGTTGCACTCAGTAATATTCTAGCTATATGTCGGTGGTCTGTAAATAAACGGTTCTGGACCAGACAATCCAGTGATCAACAGCATGAGCATCGATCGGCGCAAATGGGATACGATGACCTGTGTCAACCAAATATATATATGATGGGTGAGTGAACTACTGATTATCGGGTAAGTGTGATACGCATTTGTGACCATTTTTAATTCGTTTAAACATCATATTTTATGGTAAAGTAATCATTCTTTCAACCCTTCGTCACTCGGGGTACGGTTCGGTAGCCTAGTCGTTAAGTGGAAGCTCGCCACGCCAAGACATGAGTTCGGTATTCATCGCATGGGTGCATTGTGTTGATATTTCTGGTGTCCCCCACCGTGATATTGCTGGAGACCCGTCAAGATCCGGGTTTGAATTGATCTTCAGTAACCCATGCTTGTCGTAAAAGGCGACTTGCGCGATCAAGTGGTCACTGGTCAGGCTAGCTGACTTGGTTGACAAATGTCATCGTATCCCAATTGTGTAGATCGATGCTCATGCTGTTGATCTCTGGATTGTCTGGTCCAGACTCGATTAGTTACAGATCGCCGCCATATAGCTGTAATATTGGTGAGTGCGGCGTAAAACTAAACTCACTCGCTCACTTTAGTAGGATTTGGTCAAGGGAGGTAACTGACGAGCTTCAGATATCCACACACTCATTGGACACACTGACGGAAAACGCCAGTTCACTGATAAGCAAGGTTTGACTTTACGAATGAACCCACTAGTGTATATCCTTGTTGCAAAACTTCAACTTCGAGCCGTATACCTTATTGGGAGATTATCTTTAAAAGCTGATCATTTAAAAAAAAACATAATCACAAACAAAACGTCTTTGTGATTTAAACAAAATATGCCCATGACACAGTGGTAAAAATACAACTTCGTAGATAAATATTTCTAAAACAACCCGTGTACCAAAACATTAAGGGAATGCAGGTCTCGATTTAGGTTTAAGCAGAGCGCGGATTTTCCCGATCGATGTCTTCCTTTAATGTGAAACAAATAACAGCAAAAAAGCAAACGTCAAGAAAATCTGGCGAGGGATCTCCAGCTTCTCCAGTCGCTTTGTACTGGGACGAAGAGTACGCTCTGCAGAATTAATACCCTCAGATGAGCTTAAATCAATATGAACATGAGTCCTGAGTCTCCACGGGTTCAAGCACAAGGACAGCGAGTGCAGTCCCCGAAACAATGTATGATTTCAATAACGGATTATTCTTTGTCAATGATGGGTCATTTCGTCCAAGAGGCTCAGGACCTACATGAGCAGGAAAATGGAATAAGGCGTACATTTCTTGATGACAATTTGCTTGGAAGAAGATATTAATTGTGTTGTTGACCGTGTACTGAGAAAATGGAAACGCAAAACCAAAATATTTTAAATATTTCGGAAGTCGTTAGGGAATTGTTGTGACATACATTGTCATCTACAGCATGTATTATCAATAAAACCCATGCCTTAAAACAGTTAAAAGTTTGGGATTTTTTTATTTACCGCATTGCCCTCAATCTGAACCAGGCTGTTTGACGTACACTTTTCATATGAGTGATTGAGTTGGGTGCAGTGGTTGGAGTTTTCTATTTTGGTGAGAGCCACGAATATGGGGTTTTACCGTGATGGTGGGATTCACAGAAGGGCAAGCATCTAAAGGATGCACCGTTTTGAGCACGCTCCCACAGTAAGATAACACGCCGTGATATACACTAAACGCCAAAAGAAACGTTACCTTCCTACCTTTATGAATTACCTAAAAACTATCAAAGATATGTTGGAAGGTATTTGTTTACAAGAAGGCTGAACAACACAGCTTTATGCAAATCACGAAAATTATTCTCAAATGCATTCATATTTAGATGAAATGCATCTTTTCAGAAGAATTAAATTGTCCTATTGTCGACCATGCCGAAATAAACCAATAACAGTGATTTAGATGTCCAAAAGAAAGGTTGAAATAAAATTCTGCTTTGAGACAAATAAAACCATGTAAAGTCACCATTTTTCAACTGTTAAAACAAGAAACAACTGGTGTAGAATTGTAAAATAATCATTCCTATGATTTCTGTCTTTTAAAACATTTTCTGTTGATTGGCATCATTGAAAACAAGTAAAATGTGTCTTTGATGTTGTGAAAAAGTGTTTTGGAACTTTTATAATTTGTCTTTGTTACCATTTTTGCTTGCAAAGTAGCATTGTATCCATGTTCTGTTTACACATAGCAATATCAATCGCCAAAACGGAGCAATATTCAAGCGGTATGTTGATCCACTTCACCTGTAGAATGATCCTATAGGGTATAAAGAGAGACTAGAATGCATGATATGATACATAAGTAAGAGACATATGCCACTATTAACAGCTGAAGAGAAAGAGCCATTGGGATGTTGCAGATGGGGTTGACATACAATGCTGTTGCCAACGCCATCGGATGCCAGGGTATCATGGTTATCAGACTTATTCAGCGCTACGTACAGAGAGACTGGGGTCACCGTGAACGTCCAAGAAGTGAACGCCCACGCATCACAACGATAGCTGAAGATAGGTACCTCCATCATTGAGGAAGGAAGGTAAGGTTTCTTTTGACGTTTAGTGTAGATTATTCCAGCTATATGGCGGTGGTCTGTAAATAATCGAGTCTGGACCAGACAATCCAGTGATCAACAGCATTAGCATCGATCTGCGCAATTGGGAACCGATGACATGTGTCAACGTTAACCAAGTCAGCGAGCCTGACCACCCGATCCCGTTAGTCGCCTCTTACGACAAGCATAGGTTGCTGAAGACCAATTATAACACTGATCTACACGGGTCCAAACACTCTGTGCCTGAATCACTAGCTCGCATATGGCCAACTTACCCATATACATACTCATAAAATTACCACTCAGTTATAATTAACCCGTGCAGATCGGGGTCAGAATTGATCTTCAGTCGTCAGAGGCGACTAACGTGATCGGGTGGTCAGGCTCGCTGACTTGGTTGACACGTGTCATCGGTTCGCAGTTGGGCAGATCGATGCTCATGCTGTTGATCACTGGATTGTCTGGTCCAGATTCGATTATTTACA